GCCTTGGATAGGGACACGCTGACGGGATCCCGCATGCCCCTCACAGAACGCGGTGCTCCAACGGCCGCAGACGTTGACACTTCGCACAGCGTGGTGCAAGAACGGCCGCAGACAGGGAGGAGGAGGGAGGAGCCCTCCCTCCTTCTCTTCGGAGCCCAGACTTTCGACGGCGTGTCAGGCCATGACACATCGCGTGCGGCACCTCGGAGCTCAGAGCTGCGCGGATGACTCCGGCGACAGGGGCTAACCACCTCACGCACACTCTCTCGGAGCCCGCAGTTGCGAGGATGCCTCAGGCGAAACGCTCTGCACCGCCTCTCGTGCGGCAGCTTTGAGCCCAGAGGGGACGTCTCAGGCGAAGCGTGCTGGACCACCTCGCGCCGTGACATCTGGGAGCTCAGAGTTGCGAGGATGTCTCCCCTCCCAGAATTCAACAACCGATGTGTAATCGAATGGCTCCATTGGGTCGGACCCCTCCTCCCTCCTCCCCCTCGGAGCCCAGAATTGCAAGGATGCCTGCGGCGAAACGGGCCACACCACCTCGCGCGCGGCATCTCGGAGCCCAGGGCTGCGAGGAGATCTCAGGCGAAACGGCCCAGATTACCTCTCGCGCGGCATCTCGAAGATCGTAGTTGCGAGTATAGACCACTTCTCGCGCGGCATCTTGGACTCCAGAGGTGCGAGGATGTCTCAGGCGAAACGGGCTGGACCACCTCGCGCGCGACATCTGGAAGCCCTGAGTTGCGAGGATGTCTCCCCTCCCAGAAAAGATTTTGACAACAGACATGTAATCGAATGGCTGGATTGGGTCTGACCCCTCCTCCCTCCTCCCTCCTCCCTCTCGGAGCCCAGACCTGCAAGGATGCCTGCGGCGAAACGGGCCAGATCAACGCGCGCGCGGCATCTCGCAGCCCAGAGTGGCGAGAATGTCTCAGGCGAAACGGGCCAGACCACCTCTCGCGCGGCATCTCTGAAGGGGCCCCAGGACACACAAAAAATACACACAAATAAAAATATCCCCCATATTTCTCCATATTTTCTGGGTTTCTGTCTTCCCCCCCACTTCCCATATTTTCCCATATGTTCTGAGGAATCGAGGATTAATTATGCCTGTGTGTTTTTCCTCTCGAAGATCAGATTTGCGAGGATGTCTCAGGCGAAGCGCGCTGGACCCTTTCTCGCGCGGCATCTCGGAGGCCAGAGCTGTGCGGATGCCTCATGCGAAACGGGCTGAACCACCTCGCGCGCGACATCTGCGAGCTCAGAGCTGCGAGGATGCCTCCCCTCCCAGAGTGCAATTCGGCAACAGAAAATGAATCAAATGGCTCGATTGAATCTAACCACTGCTCCCTCGTCCTCCCTCTCGGAGCCCAGAGTTACAAGGATGCCTTCGGCGAAACGGACTGGACCACCTCGCGCGCGGCATCTCGGAGCCCAGAGTTGCGATCATGTCTCAGGCGAAAAGGGCTGGACCACCTCGCGTCAGTTGACTTAGTGCCCAGAAGTGCGAGGGTCTCAGGCGAATCGCGCTGGGCTGCTTTTCGCGTGGCGTCTCGGAGCCCAGACTTGCAAGGATGTCTGCGGCGAAACGGGCCGCACCACCTCTCGCGCGGCATCTCGGAGCCTAGAGTTGCGAGGATGCCTCAGGCGAAACGGCCCAGACCACTTCTCGCGCGGCATCTCGAAGATCAGGGCTGCGAGGATGTCTCCCCTCCCAGCATAGAAGTTGACAAACGAGGTGTAATCGAACGGTTCGATTGGGTCTGAACCCCTCCTCCCTCCTCCCTCTCGGAGCCCAGAGTTGCGAGGATGTCTCGGGCGAAGCACGCCAGACCACCTCGCGCGCGGCACCTCGGAGCCCAGAGTTGCGATGATGTCCCAGGTGAAGCGCGCCAGACCACCTCGCGCGCATCATCTCGGAGCCCAGAAATGCGTTGGACCACCTCGCGGGCGCCGTCTTGGTGCCCAAACATGCGAGGTTGTCTCAGGCGAAACGGGCCGGACCTCCTCTCGCGAGGCGGCTTGGAGCCCAGAGTTGCAAGGATGTCTGCGGCGTAACGGGCCAGACCACCTCGCGCGCGGCATCTCGGAGCCCAGAGTTGCGAGGATATGTCCGGCGAAACGGCCCAAACCCTCTCGCGCGGCATCTGGAAGATCAGAGTTGCGAGGATGTCTCAGGCGAAGCGCGCTGGATCACCTCTCGCGCGGCAGCTCGGAGCCCAGAGTTGCGAGGATGTCTCTGGCGAATTAAGCTGAACCACCTCGCGCGCGACATCTTGGAGCCCAGATTTTCGAGGATTGATAAGGTGGAGTTGTGAGGATGGATAAGGCGGCGCTCAGACACCTCCTAGAGCACAATACGACATCAGAAGTGTAATCATTGGTTCGATTGGGTCTCACTCCTCCTCCCTTCTCCGTCCTTCATCTCGGAGCCCAAAGTTTCGAGGATGTCTCAGGCGAAATGCGCCAGAACTTCGCAAACAACATGTCGGAGCCCAGAGTTTCGAGGATGTCTCAGGCGAAACGAAACGGGCTGGACCACCTCGCGCGCGGCGTCTTGGAGCCGAGAGTTGCAAGGATGTCTGTAGCAAAACGGGCCAGACCACCTCGCGTGCGGCATCTCGGACTTCAGAGTTGCGAGGATGCCTCAGGCGAAACGGCCCAGACCACCTCTCGCGCGGCATTCGGGGATGGTGGTGACACACCCCTTTCGGAGCACAGTTCGATAACAGAAGAGTAGCCAAATGGTCCGTTTGGGTCTGACCCCTCCTCCCTCCTCCTGTCGGAGCCCAAATTCGCGAGGATGGCTCAGGCGAAACCCGTCGGACCACCTCGCGCGCAACATGTCGGACCCTAGAGTTGCGAGGATGTCATAGGATGTCTCAGACGGAAAGCGCCAGTCCAACTCTCGCGCGCAGCACCTCGAAGCCCAGAGGCGCGAGCATGTCCCAGGCGAAGCGGGCCAGACCATCTCGCACGCAGCACCTCGGAGCCCAGAGTTGCGAGGATGTCTCAGGAACAACGCGCTGGACCACATCGCGCGCGGCGTCTTCGAACCCAGAGCTGTAAGGATATCTCAGGCGAAACGAGCCAAACCGCATCGCGCGCGGCAGCTCGGAGCCCAGAGATGCGAGGATGTCTCAAGCGACACGACCCGAACCACTTCGCGCGCGGCATCTCGGAGCCGAGAATTGCGATAGCGTCTCAGGCGAAACACGCCAGACCTCCTCTCGCGCGGCATCTCAGAGCCCAGAGTCGCAATGATGTCTGCGGCGCAACGGGCTGAACCACCCCGCGCGCGGCAGCTCGGAGCGCAGAATCGTGAGGATGTCTCAGGCGAAACGATCCGCTGCAGCTTGCGCGCGGAATCTCGGACCTGAGAGTTGCGAGGACGTCTCAGGCGAAGCGTGCTGGATCACCTCTCGCGCGGTGTCTTGGAGGCATGTCTGAAGCGAAACGCACCAGACCACCTCGCGCTCGGCACCTCGCAGCCCAGAGTGGCGAGGATGTCTCGGGCGAAACGGGCCAGACCACCTCTCGCGCGGCACCTCGAAGATCAGATTCGCGAGGATGTCACAGGCGAAACGGGCCAGACCACCTCTCGCGCGGCACCTCGAAGATCAGATTCGCGAGGATGTCTCAGGCGAAACGCGCCAGACCACCTCTCGCGCAGCACCTCGGAGCCGAGATTCGCGAGGATGTCACAGGCGAAACGGGCCAGACCACCTCTCGCGCGGCACCTCGAAGATCAGATTCGCGAGGATGTCTCAGGCGAAACGCGCCGGACCACCTCTCGCGCAGCACCTCGGAGCCGAGAGTGGCGAGGATGCCTCAGGCGAAGCGCGCCAGACCACCTCGCGCGCAGCAGCTCGGAGCTCGGAGGCATGCCTCGGAGAGACGCCGGACCCGCCTCTCGCGCGGCACCTCGAGGACCAGAGTTGCTACAGGATGTCTCGGGCGAAAGGCGCCGCGGACCACCTCTCGCGCGATATCTCGGAGCTCTGAATTTTCGAGGATGTCTCAATCCCGGTCGGCTCGGAAACGAGACTCGTGAAGATGCCTCAATTGGAACGTGCGCCTGACCAAACAATTTGTTTGAGGATGTCTCTGCTTTAGCCGCCCTCGGCCTGAACTAGCTTCTACCACGATAGCATGCCGTTCAGCATGCTGTTTGGGGAAAAATCGAATCAAGATCCCAGCTACTGTGGCGGGATGCGCCACAGACATACCAAATACGTGCATAAGCATGCAATGGTCGTCGAAGGCGCGGATACATGCATTTGCGCACTCATATTATGTTTAAAAGCGAACACATAACATGCACGTACAAGCAGTACGTTTACACTTGGATGCATTTCACATCGCGCAAAACGCTGATCTTGTTCTCAAACATATTTCACATCATCCTACTCTTCTTCCTCCACCCATCTTCCTCCCCCTCGGGTCTCAGGATCCTCCTCCTCATCCCATTTTGCCCGTGCCTCTCCTTGTTCGGGAGGGGATGGCGGAGTGGCGAGAGGGAGAGGAGGGGGGAGCGACATGGGGAGGGAAACGGAAACAGGAGGGAGAAGGGCGAGAGAAGGCGAGGACGGTGCAACCAAAGAAGATACATGGGGAGGGCGGATGGGAGAGGGAGAGAAAGAGAGCGGTAGCATGGAGGGTAGGAAAAGAGAGAGAAAGAGAGAGAGAGAGAGAGAACGAGCATAAAAAAGACGGGAGCACCGTAAAGGTGGAGCAGAAATATATCCTAAGACACCGATGCCGGCGAGTACTGCCTGGACCTCTCCCAGGGAGGGCGCACTGACCCGCATCTTGAGCTCCCGGCCGCGGCGACGAGGGCCCTCCACAGAACGACCAGCGGCATCGCCGGTGCCTCCTCCTCCGTTGAGCAGGGACCGACCGTCCCGGCATTCCCAAAATCATACCACGAAATGTTCTTAGAACCCAAAAATGTTCTAAGAACAAGAACACGGTTCTCAGAACACGGGCCCGATGTGTGG